ATTTTAACAACTTTAATGAGAAATTTTACGTGAAGCATTGCACCTTCCATCAATAACTGTTGTTCAAAGTGGACCAAACACGGAGTTCATATTTTCTTTACAAGTAGGATTGCTCACTTCGAACGGATAACTCATGCTGACATCTTTCCACAGCTACCGCTAACTGAGGAAAGAAACCGTTTTGATGCGGAGTTCATTAACCCAAACCACGCAAGCAACACAGAATGAAACCAGAGCCTATTTGGAATTCCTAAAACTCGATATCCTTAAATGTAATTCATGACTTCCCTAGACTCCCATGAATTGAAACCTTTGAGTAAAACAACATCGTTCAACTCCTCTGTCGGTTAACTGCGAGGAACGTGCTTTAAACTTCAAAAGATTAAACTCATGAGGTTCGTCGGAAATATGTAGTTCCAAACAAAAATACGGTCTTTAGCACACTTCGTCAGGAAGAAATGCTATATATATATACATATATATATACATATATATACACATATATATTTATATATATATATATACATAGATGTATATATATATATACATAAAATCGGAAGCAGCAACACCAGTGTTGAAACTTATGATTTTCTACCATACGCATGGGACCTGAAGCGGAAACCACAGTCTTAGGATGCTACAGGGTCTGTTGTTGTCTATTGCGTTAGTTTATCAGCATTCGGTATCTTGAACGGTACCAGTTCAGGTTGGAGCATTACTAGTCTTATTTGATTTGCTTGACTGAATTAAATCACACTTTTTAATGGGTTATTAGCCACCGAATGGCTTCCAACCGCTGCTAAGAACGTTGCGGGTTTGGATCTTTCGAGAAAATTGTGAGATGTGCATCGCTAATGACTTTAACTAAGCAGAAACCCTTGAACTATGCTTTCAAGTCTTCAGCATAAGCCGACTTTATTAGAAGAGTGAAACCTCAGTAAATGTGCTGCATTTTTTACTCTTCTGTTGGACTGTTTATTAGTAGTCTCGTCAGTTTTTCGCATGATATCCCGCAGCACTTGTTGCTTTTCCAAAGTCCTTTTTCGTGTCAATTAGGATGACAGTTTTCTATGGATCTTCATGGGGCTCACAGTAGCTGAGAAAAGCATATTTTGTTAAGATTGGACTGTAGATTTTAGGTCAAATATAACTCAAAAGAGTTGTTCTCAGGGAAGAAAAACTCATGTTAAACAACTCACAGAAAACTGCTAGAATGCACGGAAATACAAAAACCATCAACTCCTTGTAGCGCTATAGGTTGTTTACATTTTTTACTCATCGCGGTCTATTTGGAATTCACTGTTGACCCAGGGTCGTTGTGAGTAATTATATCGGATTTCGTACGCATTGAGGTTACTTCACCCTGGGTTGGTATTCGACAGATATCATGCGAATACATTTCATAACTTGCACATTGAGTGCTGACTAAGGAATGCTGATTTTAGCAAAATCTAATGTAATAATCGCGGCCTATAATAGGACTTTTCTGCTGAGTAGTTGTGGATGCCACAATAGCACCCCGTAAAAACGCAAGGACCGTAGCTGATTGTGACTACGGGTGCAAAAACCGATGGCGATGGTGATTTTTGAGTCACTTACGTTTTACTTCCTCTTGGTCCTTGTAAGTTAAGCATTCAATATCGAAAAGCTTTGAGAAACCCAAAAGGGGTAATTCTAACGGAATTTTTGGTAGTAGACTTTAGTAAACAAGGTATATATTGATGTCGAAGAAATGATCAACAGCAGTGCACGCAGTCAACTTAGAAAGAATTGGTTAACTCGTCCTGTGGAATACAAGAGGGTGTACCTTGTAGAAAATGGTTTTCTGTCCTGCAACCAATTCTGGAGCATTATTTCTCCCAGAATTGGGACGAGTATGAGATCGACCAGCATTTTATGAGGAAAGGGATTCTAGCTAGATGGTCGTTGGCTTGTTCGCTGAGCTGGGCAATTTGAGTGCAGACGTTTCACCACCAATCGAGCTGACATCATCAGTGCGTTATTAGGGAGCGTAGTGGTACGAAGCGGTGGGTTAGTGGTTGCGCAGCTACGCAACACTACGCTCCCCAATAAAGCACTGGTGATGCCAACTCGATTGGTGATGGAACGTCTGTAATCAAACTGCCCACACAGCGAACAAGCCAACGACCATCTACGCTACCTGAGTTACCAACATTTTTTCTATAGAAAATTCTAACTAGTTTCAACCTCGCGTTTACAACCACGAATAAGTTTAGGATTTTGGAAAGTTCTGGTAAATTTTATGACAAATGGGCTCATTAGCTGATTATTTTCAAACTTGATCCACTTTTTTTTAAATACGCGCCGAGTAAATTGGACAAAAGTTCGAATCATGTTGATTGCTTCTGTGATTGAGGGGTTCCGATCGAGTCGGTCAGCATCGCTTTCGGACTGAATTTATACGACAAGGGACTTTCGTATTCCGTTGGCATCACATTAGGGAACGATCAATAACATGAGAAAATTAATGACTTGATTGTGTGGGTGAACAAAAGGAGACGGGATCGTAACTGGTTGTCTACATTCAGTACTGACAGTTGAATAACAGGAACTCGAAGTTTACAACGATCACGACTGTTTTTCTAACAGGAAATGTTGCGAAAATGGCCTCAGTTCAGAAAGATACCAATAAATGTAAGTGATATAACGGTGTCCTGATAATTCATTGTACGACACTGGGTAGAGACCATGAAGGCCGTGGAGATCCGCGAATGCCCATCAATTTTGTCAACTGGATGAGTCGTTTTCCAAGAATATAATAATCAAATTCTGATAGAAAAAATCCAACAAAATCACTTCCCAATAAATCTGGTTTAATCTGCTCCTAAAATTCTTTCCTTTTGAACTAAATTTATTTGCGACAATATGCGTAGATCTTTCTCCCTAAATTAGTTCTCTTTTAATATATGTAGTCAGTTATAACTATACGGTCACACACGGTCATACACAGTCATTACTGTTCAGAGTAAGTTTTAGCTGATCAGTATTTCCAGTTTTATCGGAAAGTTTGTCAGTGCATATTCAACCAGTCTCTATGCTGGATTCCGCTGGATTCAGCTCTGAACTTATTTATCCGTAGTTTCTGAAGTGACTAGTTTTCCAGTGGAAGCTATGTAATGGAGTCCGTCATTTAAAGATTAAAACAACCGTATTAGCACATTACGCGTACACCTATGGCAAATAGAGTTGATGTGTGTTCCCTTACGCTACGGAGCAAAGTTACCGAAAAAGCAGTAAGCTGACTATTGTTTGCATTACCATATGCCCCTGAAGATGTCAACGATGCAACGAAAATAACTCTGTATGTGAGGAAGTGGGCCGACAGAAGAACATTTATTATGAATTCAGCCTGCCCTGCGCAGCAAGCAAACTTATGTCTCGAGTCTAGTTCAGTCTAGTAGTAACTGACATTCTGGAGATGAAAGCTCCTGTAGAGCAATCAGGGCAAGATCTACTCTATTTTTTCAGCAAGAAAAGTCGGAGACAAGTTTTATGAAAGTAAACGATTGCTCTATGAACTGTTGGTCGATCAGATGGCTAACGATATATTGGCCGAGCTCCGTTGCAGACCTTTCGTCCCCATTCCAGTAGGTAAAAAAGCCAAAATGCTTCTTCAGGCGTGTTTAGAATTATTAACTGTGAGTATTCCGCAAGATTTCAAAGAGGTCTGAACTCATGGCTTTCCTATTAGTCGTTACACCACACCCCTGTCAGACATGAATGACTGTTTGGCAGTGTCATTGACTTACACTGGATAAGACAGGGAGCCGCTTGCCCTGTGTGTTGATAAGTTAATTACGAAGACCGTGACCAAATAGTATAGTATATGGGTGAAAGGAAGAAGGCCTTCGCTGCGGAGTTATTTATTAGAAAATGCCAACTGACCAGTTACAGACTATTGGACAGGGAAGCAAAATTTTCATTTACATCTTATTTACAAAAAATGGATATCCATCTTCTCCTGAACGCGTCTTCTTGAACTTTCCTGGATATTCATTGACTGCAATCATTCATTGCTGAAATATAAGCAAATGCTACAAAATGACTCCACAAATTCCGCAAAAGATCTCCCTTTTCTAGAGACGCAAAGTGAATTTACAGGAACAAAACATACTACTCACATGCCTACCCATCAGTAGTATCACCGTCACACAGGTATTAACCATAAGGTTCCAATCTTCCTAAGCATTTGTGAAATGCATGACGTTGGTTATACCAGTCCCGATAAACTAGACTGTTCAGTAGAGACTGACCTGAATTGCATGTCGCAAGCATGATCGAAATTTCAAAATCTCATCACTGCTTGCCACAGGTTTCCTGAATTAAGTGATTTATAATTCGGAGACAGTAGATCTTGGTTCATTAAACGTTCCGCATCCGCGTAAGGCATACCAGCTCTACAAATGAAAGCGTACCCAAAAACTTGATTTTGATCGAAGGACCATTTAAGGCCAGCGCTCGCAGTGTGCGTCATCGCAGCTGGATCTCTGCATTAAGACAATTAAGTTAGATGACTGGCTAGTTACTCATAGGTCAAAATTTACGTGGTGAGATCGGAAAAGTATACCGCATACTTCAGTAAGCGCACAGAACTTGCCGCTCAATGTTGGATTATTTCGATTTTCAGATGAATAAACATAAACTTCCATCTTTGCCGTTGTCCTCCAATGGTGCAACTGATCGTTCGTTTGGTATTTCAGATAGAGCATTGTTGAATGACGAGATTACCAGTTGTGAATGGCCACGAACGCCGATGTTTCGATCACTTTTCCATTGGGCTCAGGCAGAACTTTATATATGCGTTCCTAACTAGGGACAGACTAATGGGATACCGTATGAACTAGACTTGCGTTTAGTTTGGCTGGATAAGGAGGCCCTGAGTGGTTTACACCCCCGTTGTCCACAGTGAGTTCCTCGGTTTGACAACAATTTAACCAGATGAAATAAGAATGAAGTCATAAGGTTTTAATGACCATATTTTAGCCACATTCTTCAGTGGTTAGAGAGCGAATGACCGGAAGGTCCTTGGTTCGGACCATGGTTCTGCATCTCAACTTTCCCCGTCTAGGCTTGGGCAACCTAGCAGCAGCCCAGCCCTCGTGCTTCATTCGGGTGAAGTGGCAGCTGAGCACCGGAAGGGTTTTACAGCTTGACTATTATTGGTATTATCATTATCATTGCTTAGTTAACTAACGTATCTTGCTGATAGGTTTTGTGGTTGTCAAACCTCATTACACCCTATTTCTAACTTCAGTAGGTGCGCATGAATTGCAGAAGGCGTAAATCATTTTTAAGTTCATAACTTGTCGCTGATTTTCAGATAGGTAGAAAAAACAACGCAGGTCTGCTTTTTGTAAGCGCCACCTTAAGAACGATTCATCAACAGCAGTGTTGCTAGTTTTTGTCAAGGTACTGTGAGTTACTCTTCTGACCCCTTTGGGTGCCGATTCTACAGCTTTTTGAACTGCAGAGGCCAATACTGTAAGTTCAAGAATGAGGTAAACGCCAGGAGTTCTTTACACCCTCGATGTTCTATTCGTTTCTTATGGGAACCTTGTTGACTCGGTCTAGTCAGACGACATCATCTTAATTTTTCAGGACGAACGTAAAGTACAAGCACTGTTGAATAAGTTAACCACCATCCATCTTTGACATGTGTGACTTGGCAAAAGGGTAAGAAGGAAATCAAGAGGAGTTTGTTTGCTGTTTGTGTGGTCCGCCTTCCAGGATGGAGTTCAGTTGACCCCATCTGCTGTGGCTACAGATGTTACAAAAACTGAGGCTAACCGGCTGCAGCGGTGTTCGACTGGCCAGTTTCTTTCCGGATTATCTGAATAGGCTTTCGGAATGCACTTACCTCAGAATGGAGGTTGGCACCAGGTCGCTTTCTCATCCAGGTTTCTTCACTCTAAGGCTTCAAATATAACTAGCTAACCTTTGTTCAATCACGTGATTGGTTCTCCTTCCGCCTTAAATCTCGACCAACCTCGGAACCTAGTCACTTGGCCTGACGAAGCTTTTGTGTCAAAAGCGAAACGTTGCCCAGCAATAAATCTACCGATTGTCACCAAACGTTTTCGAAAACGATAGTTAACCTTTGGTTATGCGGCAATGAAGCATCAGCGTCGACACCGTTACCGCTCTCTTTGTTCAAGATTGCATCGGAGCGGTGCCACTCTCTGACCGAAGTCTTCCTGAACTGTCTATGAACTATTGGTTACTGATCAGTTAAAAGTAGCGAGATATATTTTTTTCCAGAAGTTCACATGAACATCGACATATTGATAGTTTGACAATGGTTGACAAATAATTCATTCGGTGAAAGTCCAGTAATGAAATTAAAAAATCTCCGCGTGGAATGATGTGGACTTTGACCGTCTACATTATGTTCAGCTAAATATTTTGCAAAAACTGACGTACCAACACGGTACTTAGCTCAATGACACTAGTCGAAATGAAAAGGTGAACATTTTTAATGAACGTAAGCCCTTGGTTAGTTTACCTTCAGTACCTTATTGGTAGCTTTGAAATAAAACAACCTTCAGGACTATGATCGCTTAGAGCAACACGCAGTAAAGTACAGTAAAGGAATACTCATTTAAACAAGCATTCCCCACCAAATCATCTAAAGTAGCCTCTCGGTCAGTCCGGTGGCCCGCTGAAACTGGGAACACCACAATAAAAACCAAGTAAACACCCTTCAAGAGTTCTTCCTCTTGTGCACTTTCTAAAGTTGATCCATTGGATGAGAGGCCATTCCCGGGAGTTCGCAGTGGTGTTTCCAGTAAGGCACTATTTTAGGGGGAGATTTTTTGAACGGTAGCTGCCTCAAGAAAATGCGAATATCATCACCCAAATTTTGCCTTTTCAAAGCAATGTGACGTAATACACACCAGTATTTTATTGTAATTGTGTGTAAAATTCGTCGAATCGCGATTACTGAGGCTGAGAATGGTGGTGGGTCAGCCACCTTCAATCGAATTGACCGTCAAACTTCTTCCGGTACTACTTGCGATTTTCGTTGGCTTAACTAAGCGCTGATCCATCCAAATAGGAAGGACTGCATAGAAATATTACCTTCACCATCATTATCATCGAAAGCGTGACATCATTGTTCAACACCGATACTTCACTGCCGCAACATATTACTTTAGGTCCCCCCTTAAAGCTACCCCCTTGACATAGATTAAAATTCACTGTAGGGATGAAAGCTCAAGAAACTGGCTGCTTTAGAGGGACTCAGCTTGGGTCTCTGGGAAATATAGTTATATTCTGTACAGTAAACAGTTGTGAGTCCCCTAATCCGCCTTCAGTAAGACTTCGAGGACATGAAGCAAATTTGCTAGTCACACTGAGGTGTTCGCATATTGGAGAAATAATATTTTATAACACTCCTGAATATATATCTACTTCAGTTACTGTACACAAAAAAGTATTTATGTCCAGTAAGAAAACACTGCTGAAACCCTCAATCACAACTAATTCGTACACCTATCTAAATGGAATTGGTCAAAGAGTTAGATAAAATGTATATAAAAGATGCGTAATATGTCCGTCAGGTTGTTCCACATACCCATGAATGATCAATCGAAAATTTGATCTCCTTAATAATAGGGTCTGAAAGGTTTCCCTTTCTTCAGACATTTTTGAAGCAGACCATTATTGTCGCCGAATGCCAACGCAAGAAATTGCGGTGGGTACGTTCGGTACAACACGAGACAAACCTGACCTATGTAGTCCAATCCCTAAAAAGGAAGTTAGTTTTCCGGAAAGAAATAATTTCCGGTGGATAGAATGGCGGGAACTATTACTTCTGGTGTTCTTTGGAATGCGTATCAACGCTTCCCCATAACTGACTGATGTTTGGAATTTCACGACAAGGCAGAGGATCCATTCACTTCCTTCAGAGTTGCTTCATCAAGTATGTGGTGATATTATTAGGCACTACGGGTTAATTTACCATCAACAGGGGAATATGGCCTAAAGAAAACCGCGCGTTAATTTGACGACGATCTCGGGATTCATTGACGTAATAAATGTGTGACTGAAAACTCTGACGCGCTAGAGGGCAAAACTAGAGGGCGAAACGCTGAATAAAAAGTGACGAAAATGAACAGAGACTTACCCAGGTAATCTTTATCGAAACTCCTTTCGGAAAGCACCTAATGACTAATGAAAGGGGCACAAAGATCGCGATTTTGTAGGCCAAAATATGTTTCAACAATTCTACAGAGGCTCAACTTTCCTACATGTGAAAACCTGCAAAATTCTTCTGCGATGATGGAACTTCCGAGTCAGAATGAAAACGGCAGCCCAGGGCGGAAACCTCGGTGAGTATCTTTGCGTTAAGGGGTTTTGACGGAGGATTCAGTTGTTCGGAACCAGCGAATTTTTGTTATTGGGTAGTAGGACCCACAAAAGTAATAGTTTTGATGTCACGCAGTCATTTTCATTGTCCATGTATTCAACATCACTCGTCTTGTTACGTCGAATTCCCGAAAACCCCTAGGTTTCTGGCTGATTCAATCCAGTTTACAGTTATTTGACCAGTGGCTAATATTTTCGTCGACCTCACTATGTAGATTCCAGACTTTTGGTAGCGAAACTTTGGGATCGCTAAAGATGGGGCTGCCCACAATATTCCCGCGGACGCACCTTACATTGTCGATTCAGCTGTCATCTGCCATTGTGACGTGATATTATGCCCCCGTCACTCATGATTGTGACCTACTCTGTACACTATCGCATGCAAGTGGTCGAAATCCAAATAAACAAAACGTTTTCGACAAATCATTGGCAAGGTCGTGCAGGTAAAAATATGACAAGATGAGTAGTTAAGCGGCACCATGTAGATTCTAGAGACAAGAGACCACTGATACATGTGTTGAGATTATTCCGTTTTCCAAAGCAGTCTTTGTTCTGAAGTCGCATAATGAAGTTGGGAACTATTTGGATGTGGTGTTAGAAAGGGTTTGCATTTTAATGACACCGAAGTCATCAGATTTTTGTAAGCCATTTCAGGGGCCCAAAATCAAGATCTCATTAGAGGAGATGCATGTGCAGAGAAACTCCTAGTACAGAGTGACCGTCCTGCTAGATTCCTAATCACCACAACCACCAGATATTTTGGTCGAGTTTCTTTCACACAGTACAATTCACAATCTGTCCCAGTTTAATTTGGTGTTTATCCCATGAACCTTGGCTTTCTTATAATACCCCATGTGTTTGGTTCTGCTGAATACTTTAAAGTATTTCATACGTATGCATTCTCAGCAGCCCTTATTTTGAGATGATCTCCTCTGAGGTGTGTTGCTCAAGTTAGAGGGTGCGATTCTAATCACCTTGCTTTTCTATTTTTGGATTCCAATGGTCATATGTCGTGTTGTTTCAGCTAGCCAAGTTATCCAAAAGTAATTCCACTTGATGGGTGAAACATCTAACTGAGAAATCCGGTTTTGAAAAGCCAATATACAAGTGTTCATGTGATGTGGTTTCCATGATTGAAGGATGAGTGACGCTATATCCTATCTGTCTGGAAAGTCAGCCTCCTGAAGATTACCCCTGAATGCCCCAAACTAATGAGACACTCAGGTTCCACGAAACGCCGATCAGACAGCCTTCGATTGAGGTCAGAGAGTACCCTTCAAAATACAGTGCGAGACAACTTTGGATCGACGTCAGACAGCGCCCTTAAAAATACAGCACAAGGCCGTTGAACTTGCATCAATTTGCTTGTTCGCCATAAATTCCTTGTCGGCGCGTCTTTTTTCCGTCACCAGGTACTGAAGAGCGGACAGCAGTTAGATATAATACTGCCTAAGTTCGAGTTAATCGTGCTTCTGCTAAACCACTCGTGGCTGATCGGTTAAACGTTCAAACCAGCGGCTGGGAAGTTGCGAGTTCGAAACCTCCTTGGGGTTGTGTGAGATGCGCACTGCTAGCGATTCTCAATAAGGGTGAAAGGGATATACAATGCTTTTCGGCTTTTCAGCGAAGTACAGCCTAACCGACAGAACGAAAGTTCAGTTGAAATTTATAAGATCTCCTTACACAATTATCTACCCAATGATGACCCATATCGTCTGACTAACCCATGACAAACGTTCGTTTTCAGCTTCATAGGTAGACATGAAAACAACATCAAAAGACCGTGAACAGTAGCCAGGAACAAACCGTGGATATCAAGGACTGCTTCAATTTTACCCGAATTTCCAAACAGATCAATAGTGAGCTTCACTCACTAGTGAATTAGTCCACTGAAAACAGTCTTTCTCACAGAAACCTGGTGAAATCATGAGGAACTTTGATCCCAAATCAACCTCGTGTTACTAACAAGTTTACAAGTGCTGGATGTATAACGTATTGGTCACCAATGAGCAGAGAGGAGACGGATCACAGTAAAACTGCAACTGAAGTAAACCGCAACTTCTTTATCGCAAAGTTCACTAAATCTAATCTTGTATCTGATCTGCATCTGCTAGTCTCCCAGTTTTCGTAGAAACGTCCTGTTTACCATTGAAAACTGACCGCGTCACGTAACCAAGCGCAAGCTTCGGCGAAATGTATCGCTAAAAACTAGTCGTATAATTGTCTTGATTTCCGCTACCTGAGTGTCGCGGTTCTCCGCGGAAACCAGATAAGATCAAGAAATTTAGTGGAATTTCTTGGACGGTGGCATTTCTGCGTAGCACCTGTTTTTGGATCCTCCAAACCAGTATTTCAACACTGCAGAGGTGTTGTTCTCCCCAGTGAGCTGTGAAGCTGATATGCGAAAATATTATTACTAAGGGAAGCGTAACAATGCGGGGAGACAATCTTGTGGGTTTACATTCAACCACAAAGTTAACTCAAGGTTAACTACGCGTCTCCTTATTAACGTACTGTTGGGTAGAACTAGTGTCAATTGAATAGGTGGGATAAATTTGATTGCTGGGTTCGATTGGTACTGCGGCTTAGTCAGTGAGGAAAAAAGGCATCAACGAACAGTGATAACGTTATCATATTCTCCAGAAGCACTTAAATTGTCAGGCATATTTGAAGCGGTCAAGCCGTCTTCTTTTTTAGCCAAAGAATCTTCTTCGGGTTTGCCGGAAAGTTTTGTTCACCTCATCTTATGAGTCCTGTTAAATTATCACGTCCGTTCTCTACAGATCAGCCTATTTTCGAGCTGTCTCGGTACCGTGAGTTGCATAGAAGGAACGTACGCTAGTGTTTTGTTAAGTCCTCTTTTCCAGCCACTATGATAGTGTATAAGGCAGTGAGGTTCCGTTTCGACTTTTGTTGACAACGATGGTAGCTATGGAGGAAATTCCTGCATATGACTAATTAAAACTGGTTGTTGTACTGCTCAGCAGGCCACTAGCATCTTACTTGCATGAAAACAGACGTCAGTAGCGACTAGTCATCATTTTCTGAAGTAGCTTAGAGATCCATCTCAGAAATCCTTTTATGATATTTGATTGTATTACTTGGAGTTTGCTTTATCTACTCCTGCAGCCAAAGTGTCGCAAATCACCCTTAAAAACGAGTCCAGTGCACCGATATGGGTGGTCAAAGGAAAGACCACATTCATCTCCAAATTTTTCACTCAGACCTTTCTGTGCATCTAGACTCCAAATATCTAGGACACATATGTCCAGTTACCAAGTTATTCCATATTGCAGCCGGTATAATTTTGGCAAGGGTATATCGGATAACGAATAGAGAGCACCTGACAGTAACTTTATCCGGAGATAAGGAATAGAAAATTACGTAGATTTGTGGACAGAATTCCTGGTCAAACAACTGATCTAACGTTATACCTACCGAAAAAGGCTTGTGGTACGCGTAGAATCGGTCAGCTGAGCGTGCTTAGTCTGGTTTGCAGGCCTGGTTGGGACTCATGGAATCGGAGAAGGTTTCGCTTCATTTATGAAGATGAGCGAAAAAAGAACTGATGGATTAGGTGGCTTTTAGGAAATTCTCTTTGTTCTAAGACTTCTTGCCCTTAAGCACACCTTAAAATAGAAACTTAGTTTGTTATGTGGACTTCGCTAGTCCCACTCTCACCCGGTCCACGGTGGCGTCCACAATAAGGTGGATTTGATAGTGGAATCCACTGGAAATCCACTGGGAAAGAAAGCGAATTACTGGTTCAGCTGCATGTACTCAGTTGTTAGGACAGCTAGCAGGAGCGTGGGATGAATGCAAGTTATTTAACTTCCTGACTTGACCGACAGTGTCTATCTTCGTATAGACTTTTACCGGTTTTGCCAAACAGGTTAAATCACACTAAACGCGATCCACTTAGCTCTCTCAAGCAACGTCAGGTGCGAAGCCCTCTTGTCCTAATTCGAAGAGGTGAACAGATATGCAACCAGTCAACACCTCCTGCCGGGCGAATATGACGACCAAGAAATTGAAAATAGTTGTGGTGTTAGCTTGTGATTGTTCAGAGTGATTATCGTCCTCATGGCATAGAAGAAAATGGGTCCACTTCCTCAACCGTCCCAGGTTAGTTTAAAAACGATGACATACTTTTGATACCCTTTCGTTCTCCTTGTTAATTTTACCATTCGTAGACAATATGGTCAATGGTAGCCCCGTCCCATCCGAAGCGTTTATTTCAAGTTTGCCAGCAGGATAAGGACTCTTGAGAAAAACGAATTCGGAAAGTAAAGTTGGTGCTTGTGGACTCCGTACTCAAGTCAAATAATCAATCCCCCTATAGCAGCCTTACACGGATTGCCGATCTGAGACCCTAGATGCGGTTGTCAACGTTGCAAACAACCCACTGCGTAATATGCGAAAAAGTACCGCTAAGTTAAAACTGCCTCGAAACCATTCCGATCGTTTGTTGTCATGTTCCATGTTCTTGTAATTTTCACCGGGGAATTTGATAGTGATCCAACAATTCGTTCGTAATAAAACGTAAATTGTATGAGGTTACCACCTTTTATTTTGACTTCCGTAGCTCTGATTTGTGCAATGATGCCAGCCATCAGTTAGTTCAGCTTCGTCAGTGGGAGAAATTCCCGTGTATCACGCCTTACCTCTGTGTAGTCTACACAATTCTTTGGAGACTGCCTGGTCATCGATCGATTTTAGTCGTGATTGGCCTGAACTCAGCAGTTAGCAGTCTTCAGCCTCTTTCACTTCCCCGTCATCCTGAACTTCGTATGCGTGCTGACTTGACTACGAAACCGTTTTTGTCACACTGGTAGTTAGACCGCTGGGCTGATGGACGGTGGAGGGATACGAAAGCGTTCGTATCCATTCATCGATCAGATTTCGCGTGAATGGTGTGTGTGCATGTGTAGAGAGTCGATTTCTGGGTCGTTTCAGGTCATCCCACAGTGGGAATCACGGGGTGTGAGCACAACAAGCCAACCAACTAGCCGTGATCGGATGAATGCGAGAGCCGCGTTCTTGGAAGTGCCACTGTCCAGCCTATGGATGTCTAGGATCGCAAACGGCCGAAAATTAAGCAAAAAAGGAAGAGAACTTTATCACTGTAATCTCCTTAACTCATCTTACTGCACATTACACTTGGCTTTTCATAAGACTGCCATCGAGCTTGCAATCTGCTTTATACACTTTATTGTCAACTCACATGAAATTGTAGTGGGTATCAGGATAGCAATGTAAAATTCTTCTGGGTCATGGCAGAAAACGAGCCGCGCTGTGCTCATACAAATGCCATGCGATTGGACTGAGCATGGCACACACCAACGTTCATCAGGCGTGTACAGAAACGTTAGAGAAGACATAGGGAAGGCGGTACAACTCCGGTATGTTACTTCACCATGTCATGTATTTAATCTGATCGAAAATAATCATAGAGACGTGAAATTTTTGCTGGACTTTAAAATGAAGTCCTATAATGGGCGAGATGGCTCAAGTGGTTAGAGTGCGAATTTACTGACCGGAAAATCCGTGGTTCCAACCTGACCTCTGTTTCTCGACTTCTCCTGTCTCAGCTTGGGCAACCCGGGCAATATCCCAGCCCTCGTGCTTCCTTCGGATGACATGACAGCTAGGCACCGGAAGGGTGTTACAGCTGAACGATTTTTTATAGGCCATCTGGTGGAAGGACTTGGATTCTTTCTATGCTGGTGGTTCCTATGAGCCATGTGGACCGCGGGCGAAGTACGAACAAAGCAATCAGTGTAGAGTAACTTCGGAATTATGCTGGTTTGCTACTCGAAACATGCAATCTGCAGCCCGAGCTCATAAGGTATTCAGTGCGTGTAGTCGTGGTTTCATGCGCGAAAACATCTTAGGAGACGTAATAAATTACTTAAAAAGTATCAGCAAACCACCTAAAGGGCACTCGTCTGGATTTCGATTTCATATTTTTGGACCCAAGGCTGAGACGCTGACTGAGTTTTCTAACTGGACGTTTTTGTACAGGTTCTCCCCGCGTCGTTCACTCACAGATGGACACTTACACCTCTGCATTATTCAAGGAGAAGGACATGCGTAACGCAGACTCCACTGAACGTTGGCTGAACGAATATATTAGACGCTTTGTTCACTATATTTAATAAGGAAAAATACATTGGGTGAGTAAACCAGCCTTATGGTGTACGTGTCATCACTCGCTGAAGAGTGCATGTGCTGTCAATTTTCGCTCGTCCAATACCAGCTACCGCTCGGCATAATGATGTGATGTAGTCCGACTAGTGTAGTCATGCAACCATGTAGTGTTCTCGGTTGACTATCTTCTACATTGCTTCGATTGTTACTCACTCAAAGAGGAAAACTACTGAAACTAACCACTTTGGAACACTTATCACAATGAGAACCAATGGAAGAGCAGTCGATGATAATAGCGCAATAGCATCCTCTCCTCTGGAGGCTATTATCTCTGCACTTGAAGTTATTAGTTCTGAGGTTAACTGCGCGGTGGAATAGACGAGCTCCATTAATACTGACAGAAACAGAAACAAATACCTTGAAGGGTTATGCGCGTATAAAAAATAACTTTGCCTAGATGTTACATCGATAACGGTGCAGATATATTCACGAGTGCTTAGTGAGATTCCAAGTTGGTGGTCTGTTAGTTTACACGTCCGAAGTACCAGTGACATTTAGAGCCTCATTCTGTGATGCCTGCACATTTCTCTCATCAAGACTTAGTTTTAGCGAATAGGGAATGCCACGAGTGGCGCCCATTTAAAATGAGAGCTCACACTACCCCCCGGAAACACGGAAATGCGTTCTGGGACGCAGCAAGTTGAGAAACTAACAGACTTTGTATTTTTTTCGACTGTAACAATTGGACCTTGTTAGAACTGCAGCCATACATGACACACGCGACTGAGCCCCATTCGTCAGTTCCGTAATTTTAAACTTTATGTAGTAGTTCGTTACCTTATCGTCATCGCCGGTCACTGCATGCGAAGCTGACCTGCAAGCTGGCCTCAAAACGGTAACCGCTTTGATTGAGTATTAAACTGGGGTCCCGACACCCTAATCTTTGTCACAGTCGGTTTCCCATCTATACCACTCCTGCATATTTTCAAAATCAAATATGCCAATCCACTGAAATGAGGAATTTGTTTATCAGCTATGATTATCAAAGGACTTAATCTTATACGCTTATCGATTAACACAGAAATATGATGAACAAAACTTGCTCGGATGCAACGCTTGAGGTCAATGTTTTTACACAAGCATCATTATTTCTGGGTTTGTTACAAGTCCAAGGATTCGTGTTTTTGATCATTTCGATAAGTCTTTACTCTATTCCATTAAACGCTCCACAATGCTGGAAACGTCACCACTTTCAACCACAGCCAAGTGATAGAGTTGTGAATAGTCCTGTTCAAATCCCATTTCACGAAGTTGTTCAATCGCTGTCGACACTCGGGGATCAATCGGAGGGACTAGTGGCGACTCGACTGAATCAGACCGCCTCGCGGAATCGCTGCAATTGATACCCGACGCTGAGCTCTGTTCTTCTTCAGCTTCTGATCCTTCGTCTGAATATGAATACTCAGCTTTTACGCTGGCCGCGGTTGTTTTTATTGAACATAAAATTTTACTTGGGAACGGTGAACCTTTCCTAGTAATGAAAGCCGGATGACGGGGATGAACATTGCGTTGATAGCAGTCAGCACAGAATGTTTTGTTTGGACAGAGAACGCAGGTGAATTTATCTTCCTCCCAGTCTGTCTTATTACACTTTGCACATCTCAGGTCAAATACATCGGACTCCGTGGGCGTGGTGAGAACTTGTCCTTCAAATGCTTCCCCTTTGTCTACTTGCTCACGAAAATCTTTTGGTAGTTCCTCTGGTAAACAACCGCCGAAGAATGCGCTCAGTCTTTGATTGTCCCCATTTGCGGTCACTGGAGCTACAAAGATGGTTGGAGGCTTACGAGGGTCGGAGTCCTGCATGGTCCTTATGGCTTCAAGGAGGCTTTCCGTAGTACTTATGGTGCAGTATTCCTCACCATCTAAAACGGACATAAAAAGAACTACATGCCATCCAAAAAAGACATTGATATGTTGCATTGTTACTATAATATGATAAAGGAAATTTTTTTAGCTTTTCAGTAGTATGAAAAGAATGTGAGACTTTCAACTGAGATTTAAGTTTTCGAGTGAGGCCTGTTTGTACTGCGACTGCGGCTGCTTCAGCCTTACTGAAGACCATCGTCAACGCTTATCTTGCGACTGTTTTAATCGTGGATTTTCTGGCTTGTAGTTGAACATTATACCACTTTGCAACGAGTGTTTGATCAGCAGTGCGCCTAAGTTGCAAATATCAGCCGAGTGACGGTGATCTCAACTACTAACCGGAAGTTAATGAATTGGAAAGCTGCTGGAGGACAAATCCTGCTGACCGTTCCCAACAAGGATGCAATGGCTGTTGAGCGCGCTGCGGCCGTTCGACATTTAACTTGTAGGTGTAATTTCATCACTAAATAATTCTGGTTATCATCCAAGGGGAACAAATTACTAGGGATCCATTTTGAAACCGAAAAAATACCCTCCTTTCCTAAGGACTGTTGCGTATGTGGCTACCGATCAGAAGTGGTTAGGTTTTCGAATTTATCACGCTTTGTGAAAGCAGGCCATTGAAGTGTATGTTAATAAATCAAACTATGTTGTTCTAGCTGCCAAAAGATTAAAACCAAAACTCGTAAGCACTTACCACTCAATTGGCAATCTACTGGTTTGTCTGTGGTGTCTTCGAAGACTCCACTTTTCATAGGATATTTATTAAGAGGGATGGGAGAGCAGTCCTAACGGTCTGTGGATTAGAACTAAATGTTCAGACGGCAAGGCGTTGCTTGACTAATTAGACGATACCGGACCCAAGAGCCCCGCCAGATCGATCAAAAAAAGGTTTGATCAGCTGAATCTTAATGTGACCCAACCAAACGCAATCAAAGGGATTAATTCAGCTACATGTGCCAAAAATGGACTGAGCTCCGTTGATCTGTTAGACTGATAATCGATTGATTGAGCAGGCATCAGTGCCACAACATATCAGATGAATTTTCAAGGGGTCATCTGGCATTGTGAAGCCCCTGTTTTTGTTTTTCCTCATGGGTTTTCGAATAATTTTCGCCCATCTTTTACTGTGAAGGACCAAAATGTTAAAATCTGTTTTTCACCTCCACACCCCAGAGACAAACTGATTACTCCGCTTTGTATGCCAACAAACTCAGAAAAACCAGGGGGTGCTCCGCTGTTTATGGAAATTTCGGTCCTTCGAAACGTGTAGACATGTGTTTACAAGGAGGACGCGCGAAATGTTTCGTGTGAAGATGATATCAGTCCCACCAACCTAGAAACTATAGGCCGGCTCACATATAAATTTACATATAAACCTATTTTATCAAGAAGAGCTTGATCCAGGGCTCTACCCAAGTCAGCAGGTTGGCTAGACGATCGAATGTACAGTCAACTAGTTACTTCGGCCTATTCGTTGGACGATGATAGCAACCCAAACGCATAGCGAACCAAAAAAGTAGGTAGCGAATTGGGTTGACATTTCGAGTCTTCATCAGTGAGATTGAAATATCGATTTCCGCCTTCGGACTTCGTCATTGGCAAAACTGAAATGCTATTGCACACCCTAAAGCCCCATTTGGATGTTCATCACAAGTCAAGTAACTTCACGGCTGGTGCGTAGTCTGAGATTGGCCGCCGTCAGACTTACCGGAGTGTACGAACATAAATCTATAGAAGAAATTCCACTACGAATAAAAACGTCTTACTTCTGGCCAATTTTGGTTCTTGAAGACTAAGCAACCTTTTATTGACTCCCCTAAGCTTAGACAAGCCAAGAGGTTATTGATTAATTGCTAAATATCCTCACATCACTATCAATCAGTAGACCACTCAGGGGAGAATAATTTTACACGGTGAGTGAAACTTCAATCCGACAACTGTAACTGGAGTCACGAACCGATGCATGACCACACTATGTGGTTTCTATGAGCGAAAAACGAATGGCGGTATCGCTTGTCTAAGTTAGTCACACTGCTGATCGGCCTGTCATGGCCAAACGGCTAAGAATCTAACCGTTGGCTGAAAGGTTGCGGGTTTGAGACTATGGAGTTCCGTGAGATGCGCACTGTTGATGACCCCCAACAAGGATGAAACGGCTATACAGTGTTTCTTGACTTATGCATAGATTGGCTTTACTGAGAAGATGAAACCACCACCGGACATTCCAAAATCTCATCAGATCAACATCAATGTTGATTGACAGGGATATACCCTTTTCTTATCCCCCATGATGGACTATTTGAAGCTGAGAAACGCAACAGTTGGCCTATTCAAAGCCCGGTATTCCGCTCATCATCAATCGACAAAATAATACAGCGAACGATGGAAAGAGCTCATTGTTTTGAAAGAGTTAAGGAGGAAGATAATTTCTTACAATACTTTTCTCGTCTGCCATTCCAAGCGTAATTGTGAACTAGTTTGAGATAAGGGAACATACGTATATGCGGAAAATGATCGTTATAGGTGCAGTGTTCCCCTCTAAGAAAAAGAACACGACATCATGCAAGCAAACACTAGGACTGATATGTGGCAGTTTTACAAAACAGCAAACAAGTATGATTAAATGGAATTACTAAAACGTCGCACCTGAAGCATCGTGCATTATTGCACATAATCGCGTTCCATCAATGGATGGAACTGATCACCTGTGGAGAATTGTTAGGATGAAGACGTCACACTCTAGTGACTCAAACGAAAATGGGATGTTTTTTAGACAATCTTCTGAATAGTGCACTGTGAATATACATGTATCGCGATATCTCAGATAGAGTAGCGACTGAAGCGTGAGGCGGTCTGGTGCAGCACATTCAGTTGCCTGGAAACATCACAAACAAAGTATTCAGATTGGTTCCAGTCTCTCGCAAAAACCAGATTTGTTTGCAAATGAGTGCATTTCGCCGATACCAAAGTTTACTTATGTTGTGGTCCATAGGACGAGAACTATGCTATATTCGGGACTATTACGGGTTGTTCTTGTGGTATTCTATTACATTCCCAGTTAGGTAGCAGGTGTGGCTTCGTTGCTTTTGGAATCTGAAATGGAGTTGCAAGATGAAGTAGGGGACTTCCAAACCAAGGGTAGGATTCGGTTTCTCACACCCAACGGGGTCGCTCGTGGTAGTTGTAATTGTGCCTTCGGAATCAGCCTTGAGGATCGCTGTTCACCTCGGGAATTTTCGTCAGGAGCGAGTTTTTGTAATGCGGCGATTCACTGATGCTGTTAGCGCAGACAAAAGGCACATGGACCCGGCGGAAGTATGCCACTTCAAACAGCGATCGCCCTGGCTAAATTTGAGGTCATCGCAGTGTGAATTTAACATGAAAGCCACCAGTGACTCATCGAAACCCAGTCTACATCCATCTGCCATAGATTTTTTGTTGGCGATCTTTGGAGGTTTTGGTGGTTCATCGTGCGAACTATGCAGGACGTCGAAAAGTTTTTGAGCAAAACACTTAAAAAAATGCGAATCGGAGCTCAACCACACCGTGCATCAAACATCAACCAGACCCATTCGTGATAAGCAACCTTCGTACTGTGTCAGAAATGGACCAAAGTCCTTCAGATTACAACAAAAATCAGCTGTATTTACATGAATGCTTGCTTGACTGTTGGCTTGTGCGCTTCAACCGCGCCCTGAAGAAGTCTTCCCACGTAGTGACAAAAAACATTTGAAAGCCAACTACCGAGCTCAGTGAACAGATCAACCGCCCTGGGACCAAGAAAAAACTAATTACCCCCAGCTACCAATATATAGACATTGCCGAATGCTTCCTTACCATAGTACCAGATTGTAAAACAATCCTGATTCGCTCGCTTACTTGGGGTAACAGCAGATTTGTTCGTTTTAACACCCAGTTATTCGTTGTTTTGGGTGACAAACGACACGAACAGGATTATTGAGCAGCCTTTTCCAATCGACTGACAGTCGTTCCATTCTGTGTATAGTAGAATCAAATGGATATATATACTCGCTGGTAAAGTAACCTGATAGTGAATCGTTTCCATCCACCTTATGAGAGAAATTTATCCAGGAAAAATACTTTAGCATCTCGAAATTCGGTCCGACTGAAATAAGGGGCAATCTTCGCTCATCGTATTCTGTTGAACTACAGACCTAGACAAAATTCAACTGGGACTTCACATGACACCAAGCTACTCTGTAAGCAAGCGTTTCATTTCTTTTTCTGCATTTCCGGTCCTGATTTTGTGGTTTGCACTTGTTTTGCACTTGCACTGAAATCCTTTGTCGGTGCGTTTGGGGTTCGTATCATTACTTACCTCCTGTCCTAGGGATGAAAGGACCCAACGTAGTTTGAAATTGCGTGCAGCATGACTCAAGTGTAAATACGCTCAACATGACATAGTAACCTGTCTGACTCGGATGAAATCTGTGATGCTATGAGTATTTTCGGAAGGAAGTTCATGATCGAATAGGTGTACGTAAGATCTTGGTGAACCTATCACACCGTTCATTTGATCGGGGTCTGGTGAGTGATAAGAATCACGTTTCGTGGGGTTCTTCTTCGCAGATTTCGCCATTAATTCCAAGCTCTAATCCATAACTCACTCCTTTTAGGTATGTAGCAACAAAAGCCTCTCAAACTTCCTGTTGGTTGCTCATCTTTTGTCGAAATAATGCCAGATGTGCACATAAAACTAGCTTCCACGTCACAACTTCAACTTCTCTTATCTTAAAGTATTAGTCTGGGTTGTCCGAACCTGCTTCGTGGAAATTGTACTGCATGCAAAATATTGCGATTCTCAAAAGGGTTACACTACCCCACTTGTGATGCCTGTATCAGTGTACGCTATTCAAAGGCCAGTATTACATTTAGTGCGTCATATATTATCCCTATAGTTGCCTGGTCTCTCACAAGATTACAGATTACTTAGCGGTTCGAAAAACCATTCTGTGTCCTCGATTTTTGCGTA